CCTTGTAAGGTGATTATACCAGGATTTATTTTTGTTCCTTTTTAGCAAGTGAACTGGTGCCGTAAAGTCACGTTTTAATTACTTAAGGGTTTTTTAATTAAAACATGACTTTACGGCACCAGTTCACGTGCTAAAAAGGAACAAAAATAAATCCTGGTATAATCACCTTACAAGGTAAAAATGCGCTCAAATGAAAATTGCAATAATGTTCGTATGGGGGTCTGTGTAGCTCAATGGATAGAGTATCTGACCGGCAATCAGAAAGTCCGTGGTTCGACTCCCGGCATAGGAAAGATGCAAATTTTTCCTCTTCTTCTTCGCTTCGAATGAGTGTTAAAAGAGAGAAAAAATTGGCATTTACTCCATACGATGCGTTTCGGAATTTTCACTGAGTATTTGCTCGTAGTATTCGCTTGGCGAATTAAGCAAATTAAAGCAATTTGAATCGTTGCGATTCTAAACATTGTAGAGTCAAAAAGTAGCATCATCAAAAAACCCTTAAGTAATTAAAACATGACTTTACGGCACCAGTTCACGTGCTAAAAAGGAACAAAAATAAATCCTGGTATGATCTGTCATAATCACATTCACCACTTCTAATGTGCTTCAGAGAGCTTCTGACAGCGCCATCCATCCGAAGCGTTTGAAACATTAAAGGCTTTTGCTGATTTTTTCTGCCGCATTTTCATTCGAGCTATCGGATTATGGTTCGAGATAATCACTTTTAGTTACTGATAGTCAGCCAAAAAGTCCGAAATTAGACGGCTGGCTAGTCAGTCACGAATTTTTCAAACGGGGTCTGTATTTTCGACTCTTCTTAGCAACGTTCAATGTTTTAGCAGTCAATGACAGATAGCTGAGGATATATGCTGAGCATAGAAACTCAGTAAGCTGAGATTGGGACATTTTGACCTTATGACGTGTAGTCCATGTAAATGCATGATGAAATGCACGAAATTGTATGCGTGCCATCATAAATTTGTATGGACTACACGTCATAAAGTCAAAATGTCCCAATATCAGCTTACTGAGTTTCTATGCTCAGCATATATCCTCAGCTATCTGTCATTGACTGTGTTTTAGTGTCAGGATATATACTTACGATTGTACCACGTGAACTTTCTGTAATTTCGCGTCCGCAAACAAACCATTTGACTTTGGACGATGATGGCGAAACTCGAGCGCAAAACGATACGACTGAACCGTGCATCGCAACAACCGGCACGGGTTCATCAATAAATATTGGAATTGTTTCACGCACAACTTCCTCAGCTTCTTTGATTGTGACTTCACATGACGTTGAACAGCATCCATATTCCGATGCAACCATGCATGTATAAAAACCTGAATCAATCGCCAGTGGATTTAAAATGCGTAACGCAATCAATCCATCACCATGGTCGATTAAACTGTCAAATGGAGATAAAAAAAGCACAATTTTTTTTTATTCTAGCGGATTTTAAAACTGGGTCTAAACTGAAGCAAAAACAATCTCAATATTTTCTCTGTTGTTGTGCATTCTTCTCTCTGATTTTTTGATTTCCATTGGAAGAAAAAAGATATAATTACCGATATTCTTCCATATTGGCTAGAATCATTTTTGAATTATATTTCCATTGCACCTCAAATGGTGTGAAACTCTGCACTTGACAAGTCAAATCTAAATGTTGACCACTTTCGACGATTTGAATTGATTCAAGTGATCGAACAATTTCCGGGGCTTGCTTCACAATTTCACTTTCATCCTGGAATAATGTCACATATACTGAAGAGGCGGCAATACTGAACTCGTTCTCAGCTATGCACGTGTAAATGCCTTCATCTTTCGATTGTACATTGTCAATGGTCAAGTTTATATTTGCATCATTTTCGGTTATTTTGATGCGTGGATCATCCAAATTGACGTCATTGCCATTGTTATAGAATTTTCGTGCTGGAGCGGATGTGCCCCGGAAATTGGCAGCCAATGCGAGTCTACCACCGATCCGAGTTGAGCTGCCCATTAGGCGCCGTGAAACGCTAATATTGCGTCTAGGCGACGATCCGGTTCGTATACCACGTCCAGCTGCACTTCTTCCAGTACCAATGATATCAAGACGAGCAGTTGCCTCAATGCGTCCATACTCATTTTCCAGTGTAATGCGATACAGGCCCGCGTCTTCGTGTGTTACTTCATCAATCTCCAAAATTCGTAGATCGTCGCGTTCTTTGATTGTAATCCGTGTGGTGGGTGTGACGATTTGACCATCTTGATCCCATGTTGACCAGGGTGTTGGGTGGCCAGCGATAGCACATTGAAATTGCACTGTTTCACCCTCTTCTGCCACCCGACTGTGTGGCACTGCATAGAATTTCGGTGACATAAACTTGTTGTGTCGTTGTTGTGCCACATTCATATTTGAGGACCGATAGGACATCGTCATCGACATTGGTGACATACTTCGGATAGGCGTTGCTCGTGGTGTAGATAGTGGAGTCGAATTTGCAGATAGAAAACCACTCGGTCTTGTTAGCTGACGACTTAATAAATTCTCTTTTTCTTCCGCCACTGCAAAGAATGAAAATGAAACGTAGAAAAAAGTGTTGGGAATGAATATGAAATTGAAATGATTAAAATTAAACTCACCATCAACAATGATGCAAGCTAATGAAAAAGTTTTGCCAATGCTATTCGATGCAACACACTTATATTCGCCTTCATCCTCCGGATAAACACGTTTTATTGACAATATGGCACGTCCGCCAACATCATATGACATACTGAAATCGTCACTAATTTGCTGCAACTTTTTACCGTCCTTTTCCCAATAGATATTTGGTGCTGGTGTGGATTCGACATGACATTCCAATCGGACGCTATCGCCATCGCAGCAACGAACATCTTTGAGTTGTCGCTTGAATATTGGTAACGTTTCAATGTTTCTAAAAAGAATTATACAAATTATACGTAAATGTATATATGTATATCGTATGTTCCCACCAAAACCAACGCTTACCCGTGTGTTATATTTTTCGTTTTGTCCATAGCGTTATTTAAGTCTGAAACGCGAGAGAAACGAAAAAATAAAGTTTGGCATTTCCAGTATGATAAAAGTATAGTAATTGTCAGTCATTCCAAAAACGGTTACCCTTTGCATAAATTTGTAAGGAAATTATGGCTTTAGTGCTACCATAACAGTTGCTTGCAACGACTGTATAGGTGCCAGTGTAGTCCAATTTAGCACGTGGTATCTCTAGACAATATGACGGTCCATCACCAATGCGGCGAAAATGTGGAGCATCCTTATAATATTCAGGCTGGAAAATAAAAATACATAGTTATTTTATTGATGGCATAATATTGACGATACGAACTTTTTATTTTTTGAATGAGAATCGGTCATTTTGTGACGTCCTTGTGCGATTTCGAAATCGGCGACAGAAACAGCACACAACAACGCAATAAGAATAAAATAATTGCTTTATGTAATACATTGCTACCATTCCACACGAATGATTTTCAGCTCGACAACAAATGTACAAGACAGACGACGTACATTTAAAGAAACGCCGCTTTTGAGCGTGCTCGCGACACAATTTTCGCTTATGAATCATTAAAAATGGGTTTCCTTTTTTGGTTAAAAATTCAAGAGACAACAGTGGCTACGATATACGCGTGCACAGTTTTATTTCCAATGTAGTTTTATTATACGCAATTGACTTCTTTTTTCATATTAAAAAAGTACAAAAACTAAAAATACTTGGTCACTGCTATCACCAATTTCTTGAACAAAATTCGTCATGCTATGAGTCCAATTTGAACTGTGAGTAGCTTGCGTTTATCGTAAGTATAATTCACATGCATTGGTCCCGACAAAGTAACGAACAAAAAAGTAATCAATTCAAAAAGAATTAGTTCTAAATGTTGACGAACATTGAAAGTCTTTAGCAATTATATTATAATTATGTCGCGATAAGAAGAAAAATTCGACCGTATGAAAAGGTGTTGCAGTTTTAAATTGGATAAACGTTATATTGGTTAGACATAATTTTTTCTGAGCAATGTGTGAATGCAGCAGTGCTAATTTGGATATAATCAACTGTCAATTAAGACATGGCGCCTATTATATGCGTTTGAAAGTAAAACCGATTTAATGATTTAAAGTAAAAGGCAATAAATCATCAGCTCTGATTTGCAGCCATTAAATTGCCGGTTGCACACAAATGAGATGCTGTATTTCGAAAACGTTCAAGCTGAGTTAGCACCTAATGTATGTAAGTTATTTCTGCATTTGATGCGTTGTTAGGCTACACGAAATCACAATGTGTGGGGATTGCATCAAATAAAGCGCCATCTGTGTCATGATGCTTTTGTTCGTATAAGTCCAAATGCGTTCAATTTCAACATTCAAAAATACGTTCAATCGTTCAAAACCATTAGCCCATATGGTATTGCATAGTTTATCTTCCATGGACTTGGTGGCGCTAATATAATAAACGTCAAAGTATAAGATTTTATACCTTATACATTGTGAGTTCGGGCTACGACTGAAAATTGGGTATTAAATAATTCATCACAATTCTTTCTGAAACAATAACATCACATCACATTTCATAGAAACATTGACATCCATCGCAGGTGCCACTATTTGTTCGATATATAAAAGATATCTTCATAACGGTGTTATTTTTTGTTTAGGTTTTTGTTGAGCATAAATGTGAGTATACATCAAATACCAACAGTGATTTTCTGCGAATTAAAAACCTATGAAAGAAAGTCGCTTTCTAAGTACGTTGAGGAGTTAGATTGTTATTTAATATATAATAGTAACTAAACAAAAATACTAATACGAACAAATAATTCATTAGATTCGTGTGTAGGGTGCACGATAGCACTAGAAAATTAAAGTTGTATGACATGTGTCGTAGTTTTGCTTCGCGCAAGAATATTGAAAATGATTTTATTTATTCATTGTTCGATTTTTGTTATCATCTCCACTATCAATGTTACCTACCAATACCTAAGAATTTCAAACAGTTTTTGTCTACAAGTATCTCAAGCAAAGATTGGCAGAATTTTTTTTTGGCAAATCTTGAAATGTTTTAAAACATTGCAGAAGACATATGTCTTCTATCTCTTACCAGGAACACAAAAATAATTCACATGTAAACGAGCGGTTTCGGCTAATCCCATTTTTATTCTCAACGATACATATCAATCTCTCCATATTTTTGGACAATTTTACTCATACTGTCTCATTTTTTAGCCAACTTTGAGCTAATTCGCCTGCAAGTGTCAAATGTACAACAGTAGAAACTCTCGGAAAAATGCTACTGTGCGAAATCGGAAAATCGAGGAAAATTCAGACCAGTCTCAATCGATCAGGCGGGAAATTTCATGTGAGGCAGCGACCCGAAGGGCGATTTTCGGAGAAAATTTCAGAGATAAATGAAATATTTATTTCATTTATCTCTGAAATGGATGGTTTTTTCGTTTAAAAATCGCCCTTTGGGTCGCTGCCTCACATGAAATTTCCCGCCCGATCGATTGAGACTGGTCTGAATTTTCCTCGATTTTACGATTTCGCGCAGTAGCATTTTTCCGAGAGTTTCTACTATTGTACATTTGACACTTGCAGGCGAATTAGCATAAAGTTGGCTAAAAAATGAGACAGTATGAGTAAAATTGTCCAAAAATATGGATGGATTGATAAATTGTCCGAAAATTAGCCAATTGTTGTCCAATATTTTTATCTGTCACACGCGTGTGACTAGATCCAAAATAAACTGCATTATATACTGACTATGTAGCAATGATTCCAACCAAAAGATCTTGGTTTTTAACGTCGATTTTCTTAATTTCCCTAATTTTTTTAAATTCCCTAATAATTATTAGTTTATAAACTAAATTATCAACTATCGTTTATTATTGTAAGGTCGGCTTACAAAGTAGAATCCACAAACAAAAAATTAAATAGTCGAATTTTCACTGTGTATTTTTTCCGGTGAGTATTTTTTATGGTATGGCACTAGTGTGTTTCTAAGTGATATGCAAAAAGTGAATGCATTTGGTTATGAATGGCTTGTGTCGAGTTGAAACTAAACCATACTTGAACCTTTTGATATGATCTTTTATCTTATTGTAAGTATAGTAAACTGCGAGTATGTATACATTTGGTTTTGCTTTAAAAAATCGGCACACAGCCATCGAGAATTTTGGCAATGTAATTTGGTTTTTTGCATGATTTACAATTTTACATGCATTCAAGACACTGGCAATCTTTTGCCTTTTTTACAATTGACTTTGTTTGCACTTGCCCGCGTTCAACAGGCTGATGCGCTGTATAAACAGCAAATCAGCATATACCTTTGCATCTTTTAGTGTTTGCGTTGATATTCAATATATTCCAATTCAATACAGGTTTCGGCTCACAGCCATCAATGCATTCATTCTCTCAGTCAAACGTTGTATGCGCATTTTTAGCTATGACTGAAGCATTAGCAGTGTGCGGAAGAACGTTGTATTTCTTTCGTCGTTGATGATGGTAAAATAAATTTTTCAACAGATCGATTTACCCTCTGGTCATGAATTTTATTTCTCAAATTTTGTATTTTGAATGAAAACATCAAAATCTTTTCATATAATACGTATAGTATTTTGATATTCAAAAATCACGAAAGAAATTCAATAGAAAAATCAAGAAAATATCAAAGAAGCTAAAAAAAAAACAAAAGTTCATCACAGAATTCCAAAAACCGTTCATATTGAACTCCTATTACATCAACAGAATACTAAGTTACATGTGAAGTTTTTTTCGACACCGACTCAAATCAACCGAGTTTACGAACGGATCTCGTGATTCACATCTTATGGTGTGGTTGGTATGTTTCTTGTTCGGCTCAGCTTAGTTTCAGTGCATTGTGCTCTTTAGTTTGAGGAATGCGAAAAAGAAATTAAAGCGACTCGCATTTCGACACAAAGGATACACTATGCAGCGTGCATACGATGTGCTTGCTGAGCGTTCATTTTCAATGGAATTCAAACGATGTGGAAACCGACTTGATGCAAAGAGTCACTTATTCAATGCTTCTTCTATCATTTCTTCGTACATTTAACACCATTTAAAAGGCCTGACAATCGTGCGCACGAAAAAAAAGAAAAAGCGTAAACAGAGCAACAACCAAGATGAAAAGTATACGCTCCACATATTTTTAAGCCATTAATTACACTTTTTCGCGAACAGTTTTCGCATTTTATCGTTTGATGCACCAGCTAAGCATCACATTGAAGTAAAATATTTTTTAGGCTTAAATAACAAACATACTGAACAATAAAAAACACGACCAACAACACGAAGCCAAAATAAGAGAAACCATTGTGAGGTAAACGGAGCGTGTGGGTTTGAAAATGAAAAAAAAGGCATATTGGTTTCTGTCAGTTGAAAAAAAAAACACACAGACACAAAATAGCCTATTGTAGGAATATTATAAGTTTTTTTTGCAAAGTTTCGTTCCTGTTCAAAAAATATCAACACTTTTCGTTCAATTGTAATTCTTCTATCGTATTTATAAGTTCGACTCATTGTTTCTGTTCTTTGTTTTACTTGTTGACGTTTATATCAGCACATTTTCGTTGTAGATGCGCTTCACGACTAAAATTGAGAATAGCTCAGAAATGAACAACAATAATTTAATTTATCTTTTGCTGTGGCCGTTTTTGCTCCATTCTTAATTTGCCGCGTTTCAGTAGTTGTGTATTTTCCATTGTGGTTTCATCATATTTGCTTATGAAATATGCTTTTGGGCGATATTTTCTCTCTCTATTTCTATCTCTCTATCTCTCTCTCCCCAAAAGATGTAACTATTCATTCAAAATACTATTTACTATTTCATTTTTTTTTTGCTTTTCAACGTCAAGAGTAATAAATATGTAAACTCTTGGAAAAAAAACTCATACATGAGATGGGAATGTAATGGTTTGATCGGTAATGACTCGCCACTTTTTTGTCGACATTTTCACAATTCCATAACATTTCGCATTCAATTTATTTGAACTGATGAGCCGATTCGCTAATAAAGCATTTCCGATGAACAATTCAAACCAGCGCTCTTTTCTTTCAGCAACATTTCTGCGTATTTGTTTTTCTCTCTTCAGTTTGCAATTCAATTCAAATGGAACATTGTTATCGAATAAGAGCTATGCTTTATTGAATATCGATAGCTTGAATTGGATTAGGTTTATTTATTACAACAACAACATTTGTTGCATCCACTGTGTATTGCATGGCAAGAGTTAGCAATTGCCTTATCAAAATGAA